ATGCTGCTAACAGTATCATGCTGCTAACAGTACCATGCTGCTAACAGGACCATGTTGCTAAGAGATCTTCACTGCCAACAGAACAACTCTCTGCCAGTAGGACCATGCTGCTGTAGATGTATTTCTTTTTCACTTTGGCACCTTGTTTTTGTACTTTTGTTGCATGCTTTGGTATTTGTTTTTGTTGTTGTTTTTTTGGCGAGTCGAGACCGTTCTTCTCGTCCAGAGCATTTTATTGCCTTGTTGACCTTGTGTTGAGTCTGCATACGACAAATAAACCAAACCTGAACCAAACCTGAAACTGAGCTCTGTGAACTCGACTGACCTGATAAGGGTATAAAAGCGAGCGGTGAACACAGCTCGGGGCTCATTTCAGTGACATGTTCTATGCATTATGTTTCTATGTATGTAATCTGTCTTGAATGGGTCCTTGCAAGTAAAATGCAGATAAAAAATCTTCTGCTGTCGAGTGTGGTTCTTCTGGGTAAACAACGTTAGTAAGAGAGATTTTCTCCAACAGAAGTCTGAAAGATGTGTGAGTTCTGTTTAAAGGTCCCGGTGGCATTAGAAGCGTTGACCTCACCTGAACCTCTCCTGTCCTGCTGTGTCCCAGATCTGAAGCTTGATCCTTTTCCCCGGCTCGATCTCCACCAGGCGAGAGAAGAAGTCCACGCCGACAGTGGGGTCTGACACCAGTGCGAAGCGGCCCTCAGTGAACCTCCGGATCAGGCACGACTTACCCACAGTGGAGTCTCCGATGACAATCAGACGAAACTGGTAAAGCCATATCGTCTCCATGTCTCGTGAGAGTAGAATCTATCACAGAGAAGGTTATTCACTCAGGAGGTCCAAAGTCAAAGACGAGTTTAAGATCAGAAATAAGATCTGACACAAATGACAACTGTTAAAACAGGCGTTCAGTTCGTTGGTTAAATTCTGCTTCAGATTACTCAACCCCAGTTCAAAAGAAGATGGGACGCTGTGTAAACAAAAAAAAATGCAATGATTTGCTAATTTCACAAACCCATCTTTTATTCACAACAGTAAACATCAAATGTTTAAACTAAGAAAATGCACCTTTTTTAAAATGGCAATTCTGAATTTTATGGCAGCCGCACATCTCTTAAATGTTACAGGGGGCTACAAAAGCCTCTAAAAGTTAACGGTGCATTCAACAAACTGCTGAAGGAGGATTTTTGCAACAAATTACAAGTCCGTAAGAGGACTGAGTACAAAAAGAGCTGTTTAAAGAGGCTGAATCTCTTAGAAGTAAAGATGGGCAGAGGTTCACCAGGCTTAAAAAAAACCCAAAAACTATGCATTTAAACACGGTGGAACAATTTAGAAACAATGAGGCAGCCTCTCACACAGTGACTGCTGGATATGGGCACCAGTGACCAGAAAAGGAAGAAGCGGGTAAAAATAATGGATGATTGGATGGATGTTTCTCAACAACAACAAATAATTAAATAAAGGAAGACTTTGAATATCTCATAAGGCATTAGTATCTGTGGTCTGGGCAGCTACACATCTAAAAAGACAATCAATTCGGAACAGGAAATACAGGTTTTATAAGATTATACATTTCAGGAGTACAGTGGTGTAGTGGTTAACACTGTTGCCCCTCAGCAAGGGTTCAATCCCTTGATTAAATCCCTGGGCTGGGCCTGGGGTCTTTCTGTGTGAAGTCTACATTCTCCTCGTGCTTGTGTAGGTTTTATCAGGTTAAGATAAAATACAACTTTACGGATCCTGCAGGAAATTTGTTGTGCCAGAGTTTCAATACAAAGGAACCACAAGATATAAAAAAAATTACTGTGAATATAAAAAAATAACAGACATATAAAAATACCAACAATTAAGATCCAAAACAGGCCAGGCACAGACAGAAACAGTAAAGTGTTTACTTTATTGCAGGATTAATTTTATTGTCCTGTGTGTAAAAAGAGGGAAGAGTTAAAAAGTTTGATAGCCACAGGGAGGAAAGACTTCCTGTGGCGTTCTGTGGAGCACCTCGTGCTGGACCCAGGACATTAAAACCCAGGACATTTGAATAAAACAAGTTTATTTGAAACTCACAACTTTTTTTTATTTTTAGAATTGGTGTTTCATAATAATTTTCCTCTAGTTATTTTTTGTGGGGCAAAAATAGAAGAAAAGACTTGTGGCTTTAGATCAATTTACAAAATCAAACTGCTCACAAACATTAACCCGCTTATGTGTCGTGCAAGTTGGAAAGGAATATTAAACAGTTTCCAAGCACGTAAGAAGAAAAAGAAATTCCCATCTCAAAGTCAACTTCATCATGCTTAATGCGACTTAAAACACTTTAAATCTTCAAACAATTTAATCCATCCATTATCTTTACCCGCTTCTTCTCAAAATAACATTTGTAAAGACCTGTAGATTACTCAGATTTACAGATTATATCGATTTTATGGATAATTCCTAGTTTATAGCAAGACAATAGAGGGCTTGAATCATTTTAGCTGTGTCCATGTGATTCACAGATGGCTGATCTCATTTGGGTGGAAGAGGAGGAGGAGGAGGAGGCCACTCCTCACCGGCTCAGTAAACAGTGTAGTCAGCCCCCATGTGGATTGGAGAGCAGCTCACAAACACTGTGAAGCACTGAAGCAAGCCAAATATTGAAGAAGCTAAATTATGTGCCAAATATAATAGTTGATGTTACTCAGCTTCCTTAAATGCCACTGACACTTTCATTTTTTCATATTACAATAAATGATGGGTTAACTGGTAAATGTTCTGTCCACATGAGCATCATTTGTAGTAAATATTTAGAACACAGTTGAATAAAAAACTATAAATCATTACCGACCTGAAAGGAAAGCTGCATTAAACGAGCCCCATGCTGTGTCTTGGAAAAATGACGAGCAGTGGTTTACAGAAATAACTCTCTGAGAATCAGCAAGTTAACCTGTCCAGCATCATCATCCAGATTCTTAAAGGGTAAACATCTGGCAGCTCAGTGTGCAGAAGGATAAATGGTGCGAGCTGCTGGACGGTTATTATTTCCGAGATGATGAAATGGCAGCAGGACAGCACAGCAGCATCAGCATCATCACTCCTCTTCCTCATCAGTACCCGAACCGTAACTGTTCCCATAACAACGCAGCGAGGAACTCCAAGGCTGCTGCGTTCAGGTACTGTAGTCGTAATAAGTCAAATAAACACGCAAGAATATTTCAATAAATTTTTGAACAAAACAAACAAACAAAAAAAAAAAGATGCATCTAAATATTATGTATTGTTTTATGAATTTATATTTAGATTAATGTGAGATTTATGTGATAAAATATCTGTCAGCTTTCCAGAATTAACTTGTTTATTTAAAAAAAAAACACACACTGTAAAAGCAGAAACACTCGCCTGTAATACTATTTTAAAATGTACATAATGAAAATATGTAGTTTTTTTTTGTAAAATTTCCTTTATGTCTGAATTGCTACTTCAAAACTCAATAAAATGCAAGCATTCCCCCAAGATGTAATAAGATGATGCATACTTCATTCTACCTGGATTAATGAGTATGAATCAGGATATACTTTAATGGATTAAAACAATACTAAAGCAGAAATAAATAGTCTCAAAGGTTAAATGTATTGTGCAACTGCACATTTCAACAGAATAAACTGTATGAATAAATATTAAAAGCTAATAAAAAAGCAAAATTTTTTATAATATTTTAAGACATTTTTAATGTAGTTGTTTCTTATTGGTATATGATGAAGGGATTTCATCAACTTATTTTCTTTCTTTTTAAAAAAACCCCAACTATTTCCTTCTTTTTATACTTAGAATAATGACATTTTATGAACTTAGCTATGTTTTGTACTGTTCTGGTTATTCGCACACAAGCAATGAAGTGTTATCCCACTGTAACTAATTTGACTATTGAGGAACTGAAAACAGTGAAAGTGAATAAAAGTCATAAGACTAAAATGTAAAGTTAAGTCACTTATAATAAAGTTGAAATCTTTTTTCCCTTCGTAAAGCGGGTAACTCACTACAAAACAACAGAGATCGTAGCTAATATTTACGATCTGCCTATGAACGCACCACCAACTGACTGTCGGGTTGGAGAAGAAACGATTTTTAAAAAACTAATTTAAACTGTCATGGCGGTGAGTCGCACGCATTAATAACGGCCATGGCCATGCTTTTATTATTATTTAGGACGGACGTGACTTTTTGTTCGTAATTCTTATGGATGTAAACCCCAGTTGTGTTAAAACTTCCACTCCGTAACATTTTTGCTTTGCTAGTTTTCAATTTAAGAACACCTCAAGTAAAGTTTCGTTTAGCTCAGTGTTTTTTCTTCTTCTTCGGAGCCATGCGGCAGGAACATCTGTTCAAAGTTCTGGTTATCGGAGACTTGGGAGTCGGGAAGACGTCCATCATCAAGCGGTACGTCCAGCAGGTCTTCTCCCAGCACTACAGAACCACCATCGGGGTGGACTTCGCCCTGAAGGTCCTGCAGTGGGACAGGGACACCGTGGTCCGGCTGCAGCTGTGGGACATAGCAGGTGTGTCAACAACACAAATATTACCCTGAATGTTCACTGCTGTGTGTTTTATGGAATATAATAATAATTAAAAACAATGTTTAACTTCAACTAGAGAAATCGCATTCCCTGAGAAAATGCAGTGTGAATGCTTATTGCTGAGAAACAGCTGAAATTAGCTACAAACAAAAAAAAAAACATGCTGAAATGGAAGAACAAACCTATAGGTGTGCTGAAATAGTTTTAAATTAGCAGAAATTAGCACAAAATTTGTAAATTTTGTAAAAAAAAAAAAAAGGCTGAAAAGTAGCTAAAAGGCAGAAAGATGCTTAAACTACCAGAAGGAAGCAAAGAGCTGAAATGAGCCCAAAAATGTGGAATTAGCTGAAAAGGCTAAAATTAGCATAAAACAGCAAAATAGTAGCTGGAATAGCAGAAAAAGCTGAAACAAGCAAAACATTCTGAAAGGAGCATAACGAGCTGAAATTGTCAGAAAGTTATTTAGGCTGAAAGTAGCAGAAACTACAAAAAAATTGAATTTATCTGAAAACAGCTGAAATTACCTAGAAAATGCTAAAGGTAGCTGAACAGGTAGGGCAAGCTTAAATTAGCAGAAGAAAGCAGAAAGAACACATTTGTCAAATTAGGCTGAAAGAAGCAGAAATGAGCACAGACAGGGGAAATTATCTAAAAAAAAAAAGGCTGAAAATAACAAACTGCTGAAAAGTAGCTAAAAGCAGAAAGTAGAGAGAGCACATTTTTTGCTGAATTAGGCTGAAAAAAGTTTAAATGAGTGCAAAAAAATGTGAAATTAGTTGAAAAATGTGTAACTTAGCATAAAACAGCTAAATAGTAGCTGAAATAGCAGAAAAAGTTTAAACTTGCATAAATAAGCTGAAAGGAGCATAACAAGCTGAAATTAGCAGAAAGTAATTAGACAAAGCACAAAAATCTTGTAGTTAGCAGAAAGAAAATGAAAAGAGCACAAACAGCTGAAATTAGCTGAAAAAAAAAAGGTTAAATTTGCACAAGGAAGCTGAACCAGAAAAACGTGCAAGGAGCAATAAAAGGTTCTAAACAGATTTAAAGATGTAAAATGAGCTCAGTTCATTTTCTGAGGAAAAATGTGTCAGAAAAGGCTAAATATTTCAAAAAGCTAAAGTTGCACCAATACCAAAAGTTGTAGCACCCTTCTCCTGAAAGAGCTGAACGTTTTGATATTATTTGTTGAAATAGCACAAAAATTGTGAAACGAAAAAAGTTGTAAATGGAGGGGCTTAGTCCTAGTGTGAGTAGTTTGTCCATCAGGGTTTGGGGGATCATGGTGTTGAAGGCAGACGTGAAGTCCACAAGGAGCATACGGACGTAGGAGTCCTTCTGCTGCAGGTGGGTGAGAGCAGTGTGGACCACAGAGGAGATGACGTCCTCTGTTGATCGGTTCTCGCGGTATGCGTACTGATGAGGGTCCTCGTTATTATCATTAATTATGCTGCAGGTGTAAATCATAAATGTCCTAATTTGAACTCTGACAGAAAAACAGCCCCACCCCCCACTGTGTGTTTACCCCCTACATTCCTGAGTCCTTCCCCGCATTTGATGCCTGGATGTGGAATGCAGTAGTTTCTGTGCCTGGCTGTGACTCAGTAATATCACTCACATGACGGCAGCTGCTGACACGAGCTTTGAGTTCTGCACTAAAAGAAATGAGCATTCTCGTGTCTGACAGCTGTTCTTATTGCACCAGGACAGGAGCGGCATGGAAACATGACTCGTGTCTACTACAGGGAGGCAGTTGGAGCGCTAGTGGTGTTTGACGTTACGAGGGCCTCCACGTTCGACGCCGTGCTGAAGTGGAAGGATGACCTGGACTCCAAGGTGTTGCAGACTGAGACTTTTTCTTTCTCTCTTCCAGCTGTCAATCCATTTTAATTTGGTGTCTCTTGGAGGTCATCGCATGCCGGTCCAGGGCAGTTTTCCTCTTATGATGGGGTTGGAGGTGGGCAACGAAAGACTGCACGTGGCCTAGAATACAGCGCGCACGACAATGAGATGCAATCGTCAAAAAATAGCCATGCAAATTACGGCCTCATGGCTCGCAGGTCACTTGATGGCAAACACAGAATTCAAGGGGACTGGGATGGAAAATTCACATATTTTCTCACAATTTTGATTTGCTATGTAGTTGGCAACAGACGCAGCCCTGTGAGATACTAACCCTGCTGCTGTAGAGATGTGTTTGACACAAAGCCTTTGGTAAGGGAGCAAGATAAAACATGAATTTCAGCGATATAAAGTAATAACAAGAGAATATTAAAAGGTTTTCAGAAGCAACAGGCTTTTATCCAAGCTGGCTAATCGACAAGTTCAAGGTTCTTTATTGTCATTCACATCACATGTAGTACATGAGGTGAAACGAAATTGTGTACACAGGGTCCCATTTACATCCAACAATAGCAAAATATAAATTGTAAAAGAAACAGTACTAAAGATCCAAGATTTAAACTAAACTAAGAAATATACTAAACACCAATAGTGCAAAATAATATGCCGATCATCAGCAGCATGAACACGAGTCTGTGAGTAGATGTGGACAAATGAGCACTGCAACATGAAATAAGTCAGCAGCATGAGATCAGCAGCATGGATAATCAGCAGCACACATCAACAATCAACTTACAAGTAAACATGTCAGGACATCTTTGTTTCCATTTGTTTCACATAGGCCTGTCACGATATGAAAATTATCAACCTCATTTTCATTTATCGGCTTTATCGTTTCTTTCTGTCTCTTTCTGAAGACACAGGATGACAAAAGGTTCAACTCCAGTGCTCTTCACTGACCCCTCCCTTTCTCTTTAAAATCTGTTTTAACCGTCCAAAATAGCGTTTTTGGATCGTTAAAAGCAGCTAAGCTACGAGCTAAGCTAACAGGCCAACCTCGGGAAAAAACCTCCGTCTTGTCGAAGCCCAAAATTCACGGTTGAAACCCGTGCCTTCGTGTAAAAAGTTTTTCTCTGCAAAAAGAAGCTGAGAACTTGTTTACTGATTTTTTTTTTTATTAAAAGCTTTGTTTGAAAAATGCTATGCTAGAGAGCTCAAACCACTCAGAGCATCCGCCATTTTGAGAACCAAAAAAAGGAAAGAGGAGCCTCCCCCCATTAGAGACACCTCTCCAGCCTTTGGTTCAAACTTATACTGCCATCCGGTGGTCAAAAAGGTACTACACTCAAAACAAATTAGCCAACATTTCTTATTAAATTTGACAATAATTACTAATTATTGTCAAATTTCAAACAATATTATCGTTTATCGTCATCATTTCTGAGACAGTTAATCGTCCAGCAAAATTTGTTATCGTGACAGGCCTTAGTTTCACATAAAAGTGTCATAAAAATGTGGTAAATTGGTAAAAAATATTGTTACACCTGATGTGCACATGTTCACATGAAAGTATCATTATGAACAAAGAGGTCTAATGTGTAGCATTTAAATCGCACTTCAGGGTGTTCAGGGAAAAATGAAAGACTTGGTGGAAAAATTCTGTAGGCGCGTTCACAAGACGCCGTAATCTTGGAGTGAGATGTGATCTGGCCACCTCGGTCCATTCAGAAGACACACCGAGGCAGCTGGGGGGTTGGAAACAGCTTACCCCTAATGCTCTCTGTTCCTCCAGAGGTAGTAACAGGGCTGGGCTGGCCGACGTGTGAAGAGAGGAAAAGAATCGTGCAGAGCTGCGGCTCAGTAATGTGATGACGTGAAAGCAAGAGTGTGCGACCGCCTGCTTGCAGGATTAAACAACAACAAATATGTTTACTATAGGGAGAATATTGATGACACACAACAGCTTTGTAGTTGGTTTAAAAACAGTTAACCTAAAAGAGGATCGCTAAAGTGAGGCAGGGAATGATGTCACGTGCAACGCACAATGGTAGAACCGACGGGAGCGCCGCTTCAACTCGCTTTTTTTTTTGTTCCTGTTTTAACCTTTTTTTTGGCGAGTCGAGACGGTTCTTCTCGTCCTTAACATTTAACTGCCTTGTTGACCTTGTGTTGATTCCGCATATGACAAATAATCCAAACCTGAACTTAAAGTCACTTAATTTATTAAGTTTAGTAAATGGCACGAAGAATAAGTCCGACACACATTGAACGCATCACGCTCCTCTTTAGCCCACGATTCTTTTGATTCTGCTCTGCCCGCTACATTTCTGAATGCTCACGTCTATGGCCGGCTTCATCTATGGTTTATGAACGGCTAGAGGAAGATTAAAGGCAGAGTAGTTTGTGCAAACATTTTGCTGAACTGTCTCATGAATAAGCCTTCTTGTGATGGATGTGCGACCTGTCCAGGCTGTCTCCGCCCCTCACACAGTGACTGCATGCCTGGGCACCAGCAGCCCTGATAGGAAGAAGCAGGTAAAGATGATGGATGGATGGAACCAAGCGTTTAATTTGACCTTCCTGGACTTCTGTAATAATTTAGTACTTCGGTAGAGCAACATCAAGGTGACCCTAGAGGTTTATGGTTACTAACAGCTATAGGATTTACAAATCAATGATCCCTGACTTCTAAGTTGAACGACTAACCCCAGTGGTAACATTTAAGACGTGTAACGTTTAGGAAGATATAAGTTTCTACAATTTTTTCATTTGTCATGTAACCCATCTTTTGTCGTTCCTGAGGTGACTCTGAACTACGGCCGACCCGTTCCAGCGGTACTCCTGGCCAACAAGTCGGACCAGACGGCTTCTCAGCTGCCCAAACTGGACTTTTTCTGCAGGGAGAACGGCTTTGTGGGCTGGTTTGAGACGTCTGCAAAGGTATCGTCATTTTGTAAGTCAGTACTGAAGTTTTCTGACTGATGTTGCATCAGGGCTCAGGAAACCTTCTCCGTGAAGGCTTTAATAGAGTGGTTATTTCTATGCAAATATGCAGCATGGAAGCGTTTGTAGAGAAACTCCAAAATGGAAAAAAGGCATGAATTGTTCGGGGAAAAAAGCTTGAGGCAAAAACTAAAATATATGAGTTTTTCTCATGTGTTCTGGTTGTGTGGGAAATAAAAAACAAACAAACCAATAAAAATAAAAAGACAATAGTTTTCAGGAAAAAGAGAGAATGTTATCTTATTATGTCTAAAAAATAAAACTAAATAATGCTTGGAGTGTTGTAAATTAGACTCCTGGTGTTTTTTTTTTTTTCTTTTCTGATTCAGGGTCAATCAGATGTTACAGACAAGAGTATATAAATTAGGGAAAAGAGTGTAGTCGGAGGGGGTTAAAAACTTGGCAGGTCTAAAAAAAAAATCAGGATAAAGTAGTTACTGTGAGGCGGCTAGCACCTACACCATGAAAGCTTATGATGGCTAATACCGGTACATTTAAAAACGTGATCGGTTCTTAGAATTTTTATAATAAAAAAAAAAAAAGTAAAACAATAAAAGAATAAAAATTATTTTGCATCTGTTTAAAAGATGTTTAATTGTCACTTTGATGCTTCTTAGCAAGACTACAGTGAAGGAGAAGCCCAGTAAATCTTGGTGCTGGTTTAGATCGTTTTCTTTAGCGTTTAGAAAAAAACAAAACACTTTTTAATAACTTCACCGGGAGATTCTGCTCTTCTTGTTGCATCTTAACTTTGAAAAAAAAAACGATTTTCAAAACCGTTGGAGCAGCTATTTAAAATATAAATGCTGTATTTTTCGAACTATAAGGCACACTTAAGCCCTATTTGCACAGGATTAGTTTTACCTAGGGACCACATGTAATAATAAATTACTCCCCAACATCTGCTTTTTATGTGGCACATTTTCATAGGATAACCAAAGCCTGAGATTTAGCTGAAATTTACGGACATCTTCCGGATATTATGTTAACGCGCTGTGTATTGCATAATGACGTGGAATGACGTAAGTTGAATGACGTTACGTTTCAAGCTACGGCCACAGCTCGGTGCTGTGTTACTGCCAGCACTAGCCAGCTGTAGTCTACAAACAGAAGAAAATTATTCTTACCGCACAGAGCAATGCATGATGTGAGCCACCATTTGCATGATTTTGCTTCTTCTCTTCAGCCTTTTTTTTTTGCTACCCATGGTCCGGGACACAAAAGGTTGTTTATGCACTCCAATGCAGCCAAAAGCAAATAAAAATGTGCCCAGGAAACAAAAAAACGCCTAATTATGTATCAGATCCCGCCCATTTTTGACCAATCACAGAGATGCCTATTCACATTGGATTAGTTTTTTCACAGGACCTCGGAGTTCAGCAAAATATAGTAGGTAATTTGCGGGGGAATTTTTACTTAACAAATTACTGACATGGTCGTTTCGCAAGGGATTAAAAACACAGACAATCTCCAAAATTATTACAAATAGCATGTGGTCCCTAGGTAAAACTAATCCCGTGCGAATAGAGCTTTTAAAACTTTTAATTTTCTGAAAAATCGACAGTGAGCCTTATAATCTGGTGCACTTTATGTATTCATTCTGGTTGTGCTTACTGACCTCGAATCAATTATTTTGTGGTACAACTGAACAATGTTGAGAGTTATTCTGAATGAGTTGAATAAAGTTTGACTTATCTGACCATTTTGTTTCACTTAATGCACCTTATAATCCTGTGTGCTTTATAATCCCAAAAATACGGTAACAGATTTAGAAATAATGGAAAGTTTACGTTCAATGAGGTAAACAGCTCAAAAACGTATTCAGATAAAAAAAAAGCCGTTTTTCAGAGACTAATTATTCATGAGTCTGTAAATTACACTGAGGACATTGTTTTTTAAACAGAGCTTTCTCAATGGAAGTTAATGCTAACCCTAATCCCTAATCCAATTAGGCCCCAATTTACCTTTAGAAAGCTATCGTTTAAAACAGACTGAAAAGTTTAAATTTTTTGTTCTTATTGCGAATGGTTAAATTTTCCGTAATGCTAATTAAAAACAAATAAATTACTGTTTGTCCTGAAAACAACAACGGGTCAGAGAAGTTGCATTTTTCTTCACGTTATGTTACGTCTGGTTTACCGGACTGAATGTGACAAATCTTAAACAATTTCTTGTCCAGTCAGTGGGTTTTAAGTTAAAAATAATTTGTTAGATTATGATTTATAGATGTTAGATAGGCTGATGTTTTTCATCTCTAAATAATATATATTAAAAAATAAAGATGTGAATTGGTAGAATTCATTGCAGTCCAACTAGGAGTTCAGCACAAACTATACTCTGAACCACAAAGTTAACGTTTTGATAAAAAAACACAGAGAAACTATAAAGATTCCTCTTCAGAAGATTATCAGTTTTTATGAATCCATTTGAATTATTTCAGTGATGATAACAAATCAGCATCACTTGTGTCACAGATGTTTTTCTGATCTTCCCCCTCAGGAGAACAGGAACATTGAGGAGGCAGCTCGCTGTTTGGTGGAGCACATCCTGACCAACGAGGAGAGCTCGGTGACGGAGCGAGAGTCCGCCTCCATAGACCTATCTGGAGACGCAAGCTCCTCCAAGAGGCACTTTAACTGTTCAGTGTGTGAAAAGTACTGAGCGTTCATAAAATGAGCAGATTTCAGGACGCAGGCCTAATTAACTTTGAGTTCTGTTGATCTCATTACACATTTATGTTGCTGCTAACTCTGCAGGCCAACATCCGTCACACAAAAAGTGAAACCTTTACAGTATTAATCATTTTAAAAAGATGTATATGCATTAAATGTGGGCCTTATCAGAAAATTATGCTAACTTTTTTCTGGTCACGACATCTACCGGTTGTTTTTATTTTCATCTGCCCCCTTCTGCAGAGGTCAAACTTTTGTCACTTTGGAGCATTTCTATATAAAAAAAATTGGATTATTTAAAAACGGTCCCTCGCTACTTCACGGTTTGATTTTTGTGGACTCGCTCTTTCTGGTTTTTCAAAGTAAGAGTGGATATGACGCTCAACTGGCTGATTGATGGGTGAGCCGCACAAGCAGCATGGATTTGTTTACTTAAAATGAATTATTTGAAATGATTTAGCATCTGCTGCACCTGTGTGCAGCCCACAGGTGCAGGGAGAAGCTCCCTCCTGCAGCCTGTCATGATCTCTCTGCCACACCCACATTTCTCCTCCAGCTGCAGCAGCTTCGTGAAGGGTTAACCCTTTGTTGTCCAGATGCACCGATCAACTTTTGTCCATCCATCCATCCATTTTCTTTACCCGCTTATTCCATTTTGGGTCACGGGGGTCGCCGGTGCCCATGTCCGGCAATCACTGTGTGAGGGGCGGGGTACACCCTGGACAAGTCGCAAGTCCATCACAGGGCCACATAGAGACATAAACAATGTATTGTTTATTAAAAATATTACAGTATTTAAATTGTTTATTTACACAGAAGGAGGGAGATTGGGAGCAGGTGATGAGTGTGATTTATATATATATATATAAATACACAAATAAACTACTGCTTACTGCTACTTTGTAGTAGTAAGTACTTTGTACTAATAGCCCTACTTTGCAGTTTTCCACTTATTGCACGTGCTGGGGGTGGGAGGGTGGCCCCTAAACCCCATGATAAATGAGGAACTACAGTTAAAGTTTAATGCAATACTGGTAAATAATTGACCTTGCATTTAATTTAGCCTGACCAAAACAAATGCAAACATGTGGTGTTTGCAATAAAACAGGAGACAACATTTTAAAGTCACTAACTTTATGCAGATTGACCATTTTATTAATTAACGGTTCTTCTGTATTTTTACTCTCATGCCTTCTAACACTCTTCTGCAGTACACAAGAGTCACAGCAGCCCCTGTGGTGACAAAAAAGTAAAAAAAAAAAAATACATTTACTGCATAAACCTGTGAAAACAACATAAGAAGCTTTGACTGGAATTGAACAGCAGAATTGACCCACGGATACATTCTGAGTATACTACAAAGTTGTATCTTATACTTACAACCATGAAGTGCCAAATAAAAATTCTGACATAGATTCATGTTTCCAGGTTCAGATTTTTTATTCTGCTTGTTGGGGTTTTGTTCATCTTTTGTTGGGTCATCCATCGGTGAGACATTTTTTGTCTCACTTGGAAGAAACTAGGGAAAATATTGCACAGCTGCATGAAATAACTGGATTAAAACACCCTTTTCATTTTCCATCAAACATTAAAGTGTCTGTTACATCAATTTTTTTCTATAAATATGAATGGATTTTTGGAAAGATAACATTGACATATTGCAACAACAACAAAAAATTGCAATGCCAAGATGAACAGTTATTGAGATATTTGCGTGAACAGTAACAGGAAGTGATGACAATGGGGAATGCCTACATGTAAACAACGTTGCTACAATGGCTAACAACACTGATGACGTGAAGAAGCTGATGCTTCTGTAGATCGTTTGAGTCCATCAGACACCAAGAAGAGTCAGAGTTTAAATACAGTATTCCCTCGCTAGTTCATGGTTCGTTTTTCGCGAGCTCGCGATGGTTTTTCAAAGTAAGATTGGACATGACACACAATTGGCAGATTGATGGATGAGCCACACGATCTGCATGGAATTTTTATTTAAAATATTTTAAGTTATTTAGAACCTGCTGCACCTGTGTGCAGCCCACGGCTTGCAGGAGAAGCTCCCTCCTGCAGCAGTGTATCATATCTTTGCTCTGCAGCAAAAAAGTGGGCGTGGTGTGGGCGTGGCTGAGAGCGCTGGCAGATGGCAGCCGGAGGCAGAGAGCTGATTTCATGACATTCGGTGCTCTTTTAGAGCGTTTAGAAACATTGTTTAGAATGTTGCAAGTGTGGGAAGGGTTTAAAATGCCTTTCACAGGGCTTCAGGGTACGGATCCCCCGCGATAAACGAGGGATTACTGTAATACTGTTTTAGTAAACAAAAACTAGGAAGTTCCTCTTTGATGTCACTTCCTTTTTTCGCTGTGGCTGCACCAGGTTCAAAGGAAAATATACCAGGTTTGTGACAAAATGTGTAAAATCCTGTATTATACCATATTTCTTACATATTAAAATATTTTCTTCCACTTTTTGTATTTGTAGGATGTGCAAGTCACAGACACTTTAAAAGGTTGTAGAATTTTTTTAATTTAGGTGAAAATAAAATCACAAAACTACTATACTTTAACTTTTATTTTTTAACCAGGGGTTTTTGTTGTCCGTTTCAGGACAGGAAGTTTGCGTTAAAAAAGTCTTAGAAGAACAAAATTAAAGAATAAAACAGTATATAAATGTATAGATTGCTTATTTTACTCGCACCAACTGTTTTTGTCATCAAAACAGTCAAATTGATCTGACCTAACAGCATTTGTATTTTTTTGAAATATTTAAGGTATTAAAAAAACTAAACCCAGCAAACCATTTGTGCCGTAAGGTTTTTTTTTTTTTTGCCTTCTTCACATCACACCGCTGTGTCAACACAGTGTTGATGAGTGAGACTGAACGCAAAACTTTAGTTTTCATTTTCTAGTCGTTATTAGAACGTTCTGAAAATGTGTCAGTTTGATGTCTTAGCTATATCAGCGATGGACGGACCAGGAATTTGTTTTTCTGTTTTGCATGAAAAAACAGAACCCTGTTACAATGAGAGGAAAATGCACACAAGCCCTTTATTCAGGACAGATAATCTGTTTACATTAGTGAGCCAACAGCTGTTTGGTTTCATTCTGCAGAGGTGAAGATCTGCAGACACAACAAAAACAATGTTCATTCAGAGCTGACTCACTCAAACTGTATTCTCCATTGCTGTTGAGACGTTAAAGGCTGTAAAATCAATATCTCGCTGGCCCATATTCTGGTCTGTGCAGTTTTTTAAAACATAGCCGCCTTCGTTGAATCTGCTTCAAGTGTAATTTCAACTACATTTTTACTTTACTCCCTTTGATGCATAATTGCTTCAAGTTGTAAAGAAACTCCAGTTGTCTGCAATTTTTGTGAAACGGACAAATTGTAAAAACAAAAACCTTGTCTTTTTGAATGTGTTTTTCCGCAACATTTCTTTTTGTTGTTGCCTGAAACAAGACAATTATTCGCCCTTTGTGAATAATCAGTACAACTTTTAATTATTTGCAGCTTTACTTGTAGTCCAAATTTAAAAAGTTAAAAAATAGCACAAATAAATAAATAAAACTGGCACCAAATGTCTGTAATAAAGACCCAAATGTGCTAAATTTAAAATGTTGCTGCAGGAATTTGGTTTATTGATGGATGGGGTTACTGAGGTTAAAGCCATCCTGCCAGATGTTGTAAAAAGGTGAATAAAATTAATCAGAAAATAATTAATAGGTGTTTCTATCTATCCAACCAACCAACTCCTAGGAGGGAAACAGGATTAATAATTAACACTTTTGAAAAATGTATTTCTTGTTTCTATTACTTACCATCAAAATAATTTCATTTAGCAGATGGCTTGATCCCAAACAACTTGTAACAGACTTCATATACTAAAACATCCATAGAGCAGTAGGAGGTCAGTTGTATCCACTGATGTGTGGTGGGGTTGTCTGGCTGCAAATTTGCCTTATGATGGCTGACAGAAACATTACATAAAGGAAAAACACCTTTTCATAAGCAGGGATGCTAAGAAAATCTTTAGATGTGGTGCTTGAAATAAAAGCAAAAAAAAAACTGTAGACACATCATTTTAAATGTTGCTGAAATTTGCTCAAGAAGCTAAAATTGAATTGAAATAATAAAAAGCACAACACCAATTATAAGAAGCTAGCAATATGCAGCAAAACACTACCTAAAGTAGCTAAAAGCAAGAAAAATAGCTAAATATAATACTAAAGGCTGACCTATAATATCTAAGAGGCCTATTAGCTGGGAGTTAAAACTAACAAAAAACTAGTTAAAAATAGCAAGATGTTGGCTAAAAGTGTTAAAGACTAGTAATGTACTTTGAAGCTAAACATTGCAAAAAAAAAAAAAACTACGTAAAAGCTAAAAGAATCAAAACAGTAGCTAAAGGCAGCAGAATTGTAGATAAACAGAGCAAAAATCTATAGTTAAAAGTAGAGAATGGAGACAAAAAGGTAATGGTAGCAAAAACTAAAAGTAGCATAAAGTGACACAGGGCATGATAGCTGAAGAAGAATTCAAAATGAAATTTGCTTTGAAAAAAAAAAAGAGAGATATCAGTGTATTTATATCGGGAAAAATGTGCAAATAAAGTTTTAGCATTCTAAAACGTGTGCAAACTACAACCCACTCACAGCACCCAGCTCATGCTAAACATTACTGTTTTTTTTTTCTTCTTCTTTTGTCTGCTCCCTTCTTCAGGGGTCGCCATGAAGACTTGGTGACTATTTTCACACCGGATGTCCTTCCTGACGCAACCACAGACCACCGAGCTGCCACAGCCCTCTGTGTGGAGCAGAGAGCGGCTATCTAGGGCACCCGGGGGAACAGATGGTGGGGGATAAGGGCCTGGTTCAAGGGCCCAGAGTGGGACAAATGAGGGCGGAGGCATATGTGGGGTGCTTCACCTACCCCACCAGTGTTGCCAGGTGTATGATAATTATCGTATTTGTATGACAATTTTGCCCTCTGTATGATCAATAATCCCAAAAAAGGCCAAATATACAATAATTTGACAATTCTGTGAATGTGTGGTTGTAATCAGTTGTCATTAGCCTCTCGCTACTGTCTGTCGGAGTTTTTTTGCGAACCCTGAAGGCATCTGTGTCTGCAAACATATGCACGAACGGCTGAAAATTCCAGCCAATCGTGCTTTTCTAAATGTTACCTACGAGTGACGTGTATATGTTTGCCTTAGAACAACGGCCATGATTGACTGAATAGTCCACTGCGCCCGCCCCATGAGTGAGGAAAAGAAAAAAAGAAGAAGCAGAAACGGTCTGGAAGCGGACCCATAACTATTACAGTGCATCAATAGATTTGTTATTTTGGTTATGACGGGTGTACGATAATTTCCCTCAAAATACGATAATTTTATGTCTCTAGTACGATAATCCTACATTTCTCACCTGGCAACACTGTACCCCACCCACATTTTGATGTTGTTGGTACCAGGCGTTGAACCAGCGATCTTCCGATCACAGGCCCACCTAGGGCGTCTGTGGCTGAGTGGTTAGAGCAGTTGTCCTCCAATGTGAGAGTTCAAATCCACCAGTAGTCACATGCCAAAGTGTCCCTGGGCAAGACACTGAAACACTTGCCTCCAATGTGTGTCCCATTGGTGTATGTGAAAGCACTGATTAGTCTTTGTACATAAAGTGCTGTATGAGTATCTTGATCAGGTAGAAAGGCGCTATAGTCCATTTACCATCTCTTCTGCAGAAGTTTCCAAAAGTAGTTTGAGTGCAATTTTTTTTCAATTAAGAAATTAAATTAAATCAAGAAATCAATACACAGCAGAAGTGACCTCCACTAGTTCCATAAACACAAGCTAGCATTAGCATAGCAGCACTGCTATCTGTGGCTACAGGAAGTCAGAAAAATAACGTTGAAAAAACTCCCATGAGCCTTTGCTTCAGAACTGTTTACAGCTAGCTTTACTGTTCTCGTAGTTTTAAAATAAGTTTTAATTTAGATGTTTCAGAGAAGTTGCTTCATATTTGATTTTTTTTTTTTTTTAAGTTCTTTCATCAGTGAGCGATACTGTGTCAGGTAAGGCTGTGAAAAGCCACAAACCTCCATGCTGCTGTCTGAAGCTACACCACAATGTTCATATTTAACTTGTGAATTATGCTAGTGCTGAATTTAGCCCCCACGTGGAAAGGTGGTGTACTTGCAACGAGTCCTTAATTCAGTGTGAAGCTAGACTGAGAGTGAGTAACCTACATATATTCATATCAGGGTTGAGGCAAAAGCATTTGCGTTTAAAAAAAAAAAAAATGTCTTCTGCTTTAAGGTTCCCTCCCCCGGCAGAGCAGCCCGTTCCATTCACCCTCCTTTCCCAGACACCTGATTCATGCTGCTGCCATTTTACACACACGTTTAACTGACATCTATATATATATATATATATATATATATATATATATATATATATATATAAACCTGAACTGCTCTATCGCCAAGCCTTAAAAAAAGAAATCCTATCGTAGAAAAAAAAAAAAAGTGTTGGTGCAGCCAGTGTGGGGTGCTGCGGGGATCATCAGAGCTGTCTGCGGTCGGATCGGGAGGATTCAGAACAAACCCGCTCAAGAAGAGGAGAGAAAAAAAAGCCTTAAAGAAAGGACAATGCTGCTTTTTATTTACAACACGAATGTTCAGTCATAGGACATGCCGCATAGATTTGCTCGTGTGTATAATTTTTGATATTCCGCCGTCTATTTCAGGGACGCGTTCGTTTAAAGCGCGTTCATTGTCTTCAGAGCATTTTTTAGCTCCTACTCGTTTTGATTCTCCTGTTAACGCTTTTCAGAACGATCTGTAGTTTATTTATTTATTTATTTTGGAGTGGGGGGGTCGCCGCATGAATTCTCTCACCGGATCCTCGTCGGTTTTCTCTGCTCCTGCTTCTGTCCTCCTCCTCCTCGCAGAGGGCACTACCCTCCTCCCTGCCACTAAAGACATTTTGATCGTCCTCCCCGGTTCCCCCCACCCGGACATCACCAGCAGCAGCAGCAGCAGCACCCCGTCCTCCTCCTCTTCCTCCTCCTCCTCCTCCTCTGGAACATGTCGGGACAGTCTTTGACGGACCGGATCGCCGCCGCGCAGCACAGCATGACCGGCTCTGCCATCAGCAAAGCCGTGTGCAAGGCCACGACGCACGAAGTCAGCGGACCCAAGAAGAAACACCTCGACTGTAGGTCCAGCATGCCTTCACTCCTCACTACAGATAGACAGGCTGCATGCATGCTTCCTCACAAAGGACAGCTTGTACGATCAGCATCCGTCCCCGGTTTGAGTCCAGTTAGACCCCAGTTCCCTTGTAGATTTAGACTGGACTCACAGCAACGAGTCTGAGCTGGGGGATTTTAAATAATAATAAAAAATAAAAAAAAAGGATTGGTATCCGGGCATGCCATTCAGGAGAAATAGGCCGCTCTGGTTAAAAAGAAAGTCAAGTCTAATCACGTTGCTTTATAGTGTAAGGCCTATCTATTATTAACGCCACTATATCAGCTGCATACAATCCTCTGGAGACCCTTCAGTACATAATGTGCATTTATCTTCATCCTCATTTCCATCACCCCTCATTCAAGTTCACTGGTGTTTTCTCATTAATGAATGTCCCGCTGTCAGTCCTGAGGTGCTGAAAGGAAAGAAATAACAATGAGCCTGTGTGTGTGTGGTGGGTGTTACAGCAACGCTTAGGAAATGCTGCTTCTTTATCTCTACATACTGCTGATTACCTGCGTGTGTGTGTTTGTGTGTGCGCGCAGTGCACCTGCTAGAGGCTGCCTCACATGTAGCCCCTTCACCTGGGATTATCATGGTTTTAAAAGCGTCTTTACAATCAGGATCAATGGAGAGCACGGTTAATCAATGAAGCTGCCAGTCAGACTCACACAGGGAGTCCAAGTCCAGACAGACAGACAGACAGGCGGGCCAAAGAGCGAGATTGGCTAATCCAGGAGAAAATGTGGATAAATCAAGTCTGAGAGACACCACGGGGCAAGAAGCCAACCAGCCTGAGATCCAGGCATCCAAAACCGCACCATCAGCCAGCAAGCCAGTCAGTCAGCAGGCAAGTTTGGCAGCAGATTACTCAATCATGGCCACAGCAGAGATGCTGGGAATTTAGATTTAACAACAAAATAATCTATTTTTTTAATTTACTCTACTGAAAAATACACTAACGTTCGATGAGCTGTCTAAAAATTCACAAGAATACGTTCGTACTGTAATTAAATTTGTGTATCACTTGGTTTTACGCTGAAACTACCCCAATTCAAAACAAGTTAGGATTGTTGTTTAAAATGTAAATAAAAACACAATGTGATGATTTGCAAATTTCATAAACCAATATATATATATATTTTTTTTGGTAATGGAATGTCTGGAAACATTAAATGTTAAATCTGTGTTGGGACTGATTCTCAGCTACTACCACATCAGATTTGAGCTCAGGTTTTGTCAAACTGACCGAGTTGTTGCCATTTTTGTGTTTTCTAATGTCGATTAGCTGTGGCGGCCATGTTGAATGAGGTTGACCCCAAAGGTTACAGTAATCAGATGAGCATCCAATAATTAACTTTTAAGAGTTTCATTTAAATTTGCCCAGTGGTTCATTATATATTTTGCTAACAGACTGACAAATGAACACGCAGGCAGACAAAGGTGAAAGTGTTATTGCCCCCCGCCAAAGTGCAAAAGACAGAAGAATGGTTTTGCCTCTATATGTGCCAATAAGACCTGAAATCATCAAATGATCCTAATTTCAGCTGAGTTATTTTTTTTATTTTCAAGATCACTACAGCTAAATGTAGATATTCAAATCATATAAAGACATCCATCTTATTTGTTCAAAATGAGCCTTAGCCCATAGTTCATAAACAAGGTGACTGCAAGATCACAAATGTCAAAAAGATGGGATTTCTAAAAAAGGGATCTAAAGCTTTGCACAGGATGAATTTCCTGCTGTCAAATGAATTTTATACAACTGCTCTCGAAAAGACAAAAACATTTCTGCCAGACTCACTCAGTTTATTCTGGTCAAGGTGGTTCCATGAGACATTTGCTTATTATCTTTAGTGGGATACTACTAAAGGAACTGCATGAGTGATTCGGTTCTTATTCAAAATGATACACATTGCTGTGCTCTTGCTTTTTTGTCACACTTAAGATCATGAAATAAATGTTATACATAGTAAAGTCGTTAAGACCAATTTAACAAAGATTCATAAAGAAGAAGCCAAATCTGTACGACATTTCAGTCTTTTTTTTTTTTCATTCACCCTTTATTTATCCAGGTAGTCTCATTGAGCCACGAGAACTCATTTTCAAGAGAGACCTGTTTAGGGAGCAGATGGTGGGGGTTAAGGGCCTTGCTCAGGGGCCCAGAGTGGGGGCGAATGAGGGTGGAGGGAGGTGTGGGTGTTGCACCTTTTCCACCCACATTTTGATGTTGACAGTACCGGGAGTTGGACCTGCAACTTTCCGATCACAGGCCCATCTTCTAACCTCTGCGCCACCACTCCCAGTCATACCAGTCATATCAGTAGACGGTTGAAAAAAAAATTATAAGCAGATAATATGACTAGATGCCAACTACAAAATTCAGTCTTTTAATGTACAAATTGTTCATAACTTGAATCCTAATTTATCTCCATCCATCCATCCATCCATCCATTTTCTTTACCCGTTTATTCCATTTTGGGTCACGGGGGTCGCTGGTGCCCATGTCCAGCAATCACTGTGCGAGGGGCGGGGTACACCCTGGACGGGTCGCAAGTCCATCACAGGGACACATATAGAGACAAACGAGACAAACAACCATTCACTCTCTCACTCACACCTAGGGACAATTTAGAGTTACCAATCAGTCTAACATGCATGTTTTTGGTCTGTGGGAGGAAACCGGAGTACCCGGAGAAAACCCATGCATGCACGGAGAGAACATGCAAACCCCACCCAGAAAGGCCCCTGGACCGGGGTTTGAACCAAGGACCTTCTCGCTGAGAGGCAGCAGCTCTACCAGTTGCGCCACCGTGCTGCCTAATTTATCTCCAGTTCATAAAATGATATATACAGTAGTCCCTCACTTATCGTGGGGGTTACGTTCCAGACATCCCTGCGATAGGGGAAAATCCGCAAAGTAGGGATGTTATATGGGCGGCTGTGGCTGAGTGGTTAGAGCAGTCGTCCCCCAATGCGAGAGTTGGGGGTTCGAATCCACCAGCAGTCAAATGCTGAAGTGTCCCTGGGCAAGACACTGAACCCCTCATAGCCTCTGATGTGTGTCCCATCAGTGTATGAATGTGATAAAGCACTGATTAGTCTCATTAGAATGATTTGTTCAATTAGCTTTGTAGAGATCTAGTAGAGTGCTGTATGAATGGGTAAATGAGGCACAGATTGTAGAGTAAAACACTTTGAGTATCTTGAAATAAGATAGAAAGGCGCTATATAAGGACAGTCCATTGATATTTATTTTAATATTTACATATATTTTAAGGCTGTATAAAGCCTTTATATCCCACACTCTTGCAATGTTCTTCTAAACTCGTAAAACCTACGTAATTTTAACATGTGTATATGTACTGTACAGTACAGCAAAATTTTATATGGGTACTCACCAATTTGAAGGATGAGTTCAGTTTCAGGATTATTTGCGACTTTTCTGACAGTTCTGTGAGCTGAATAGATAGATCGTTACTTCAGACTTTGCGTGGCAAAACTATTTTTACCACATCAGTTTCCCCACTAGTGTTTGCACCCTCTGTTGCTGTTCTTTGAGTTTCGGCAGAAAGCAGCAGCCGGAAGCGCTGTTGGCTTCTGGGTGTAGTTCTTTTGACTTGAGTTACAGTGTAGGCTCACTGAAAGAAAACTAGAAAATAGCGGCACCTGTCCGAAGTATTTTTATTTTTTTTAGTCCTATTGGTTGGCTCCCACTCTCGTCTGCTCCCATTAACTTTTTAACCCTTACCGTCCCAATCACGTGAGTAATATTAAAGTTGACTCCTTGGGAGTCCAATGAGAGAGTACAGTCAGTTTTATACAAGTACAATCTTATGCTGAAAACCCGCAAAACAGTGAGCCCACAAAGTCGAGCCGCGACTCATCGAGGGACTGCTGTACTCCACAAATCTGAGCGTAAATACACACTGACACATGGAAACTGTCTTCTCCGTCCCAAACGACTCTTCCATGGACGTCTCCATTGTGGACTTGTTTTCACTTCTGGTGTTTATGCATGTAAACAAACGCACGGAGAACTTGGAACAAATGGTGCAGATTTTGTTTCTTTAATACATTTTTAGACATGTCTTGATATTTCAATGAGTAACTTTAACAAGAGAGACAGTTACTGTCTACACATATACCAGTTTGGATTGGATAGCTTTTTTTTTTCTCCCCTAAAGCATCATCTGAAAACTGCATTTTGTACTTTCTCAGGTATATTCGTCTACTATTAGTTTTGTTTGCTGATCTGAAAAGTGTAAAAGTGACCAAATAAGTGAAAACGGAAGAAATCTGTAAAGAGGCAGATACCTTTTTCACAGCACTGTACTTTCTGTGTTCGTTGTGGGGCAGGAGGCAGTCGAGAAGCTATTGAAAGGTGAACAGGAAACGTCTTCGTGATGAGGAAGACAGCAGAGTTAATCCTGTGATGGCTGAAAAAACCTTGAAGTGAATAAAAAGAATGAACTCAACTTCTACTAAAGAAGCTGCTGATGAGTCATCTATGAGATATCTCAGGCTTTCACTGATGTGATGCCCACGCTTTTTAATTTTTCGTGCTCTGTATTTGAGTCTTTTTCCTGTTCAGCCTGGTAAACAGGGTCCAGAAAAGGCGACACTTCATACTAGAACATTTATAACAGCGCTCAGTGGGAATGACACCGGAAATCAAAACAAAATGAATGTGGACAGAAATTGGAGCTGAGGAGGAAATATGACTGACAGGTATAAAAATAAAAATAACTTCCCTAAAAATAAAAACAGAGGCATAGCATTTATTGAAGGAATGCTTATCACCACCATCATTTTTTTTTTTTTTTTACCAGAGTTTAAGACTTAGATTATTTACTGTTAAGTTGTTGACCTTTTGTCAAATCTTTTAAATATTATGAGCAATCTTGTGATATTTCTATAAGCCAGGCTCGGGGTATGTGCTTGGAGAGCCTCAGCTACTACCAC